AACTGGACTGCAGAGAAACCCACCTGTCAAGGTAAGGAAAAAAAACAGATCAAAGGGGAAAAGAACAATTTTCAATATAATGTGGACATTGTGGAGAACGATTAATACCTTGGAGTACACTTAGACAATAAACTGGACTAGGTTAAAACACCACTACACTTTACAGGAAGGGCCAAAGCTGTCTCTATTTTCTGGGGGGTCGGAGGTCTTTCAACATCTGTCGGACAATGTTTAGAACTTTCTATGAGTCTGTTGTTGCCAGTGCCATCCTCTATGCTGTTGCATGCTGGGGCAGCAGGTTGAGGGTCGCAGATGCCAACATACTAAAAAAACTGATCTGCAAGGCCAGTAATGTTGTGAGGATGGAGCTGGACTCCCTTAGGGTGGTGTCTGAGAGGCGGATGTTGTCCAAGATAAGGACAATGCTGAATAATACCTTCCACCCACTCCATGACGTGCTGGCTAGTCACCGGAGCACATTTAGTGAGAGACTGAGATTACCAAAGACTACCACTGAACGACACAGGAAATCATTCCTGCCTGTGGCCATCTCCTTGTACAATTCTTCCATCTAATACACTGTGAAACTGCAATAGCTACACCCTTTTTGCACACGCTCAGTAAAATACCAAAGTAAAATAGCAAATAAAATAACAAATGACAAAGTTTACAGGTTAGAGTCAAATGTCAGTTATATATATTCCACCCCTGTAATATTCTTCATATTTATAATTCAGTGATTGTATTTATTAATGCTATTTCTTAAATTTGTAAACTCTGTAACATATTGTATTATTTAAATAGTTTAGTCTGTTACTGTTACTGTCTTGGAGCAACTGTAACCCACGTAATTTCCTTAGGGATTATTAAAGTAGTCTGATTCTGATATATAATGAGGACACGTTCAATAAAATACACATTTTTCTGTGTCAGCCATCCTTTGCCAGAATCCAGAGAGAGAAGCTCCCCTCATCATGCAGTGCAGTGAATCTGAGACTGAACTGCGACCAAACTCCACCTGCAGCTTCAGCTGTGAAGAAGGTTTTGAACTGCAGGGAGCAAACACCATCAAGTGTTCTGAGGACGGACAGTGGAATGAAAACATACCTACATGCAAAGGTCTGAAAGACTAATTATATCAATATTTACTACAAACAGTGTTTACCCATTGTAGCACTTTTATTTTAAGTCTCTTTAACTATGATATATTTTATTGATCTCCTTTTGTTTCCCTTTTGTAGCAAAAGGATGTCCTGCTCCAGAGGTCCCAACAAATGGTCAGATAAGCTGCAGCCCTTCTCTGTCTTCATTTCTTAGTCATGAGACACCCCATCCACTTGGCATGGTTTGTCATTTTACATGTGATGAAGGACATGAGCTGCAAGGTGCACACAGCATGGAGTGTACACATCCAGGCCAATGGACCTCCAGATCACCAACCTGCACAGGTACATGTGAACCCATTTTACTTGGATTACTTGTTGTTCACAACTTCATTTGCATGTTCAGAATCTTATGAGCACAGGTGAGATCACTTTTTCAATATGCAATATCTTCCTTTCTTTTACAACAGCTGTTACATGTTTGTTGCTTGAGGCTCCTGAAAACGGTCACATCAGTTGCTCCAGCACTGAGTCAGTTTACAACTCTCAGTGCTCCTTCACCTGTGACCAAGGCTACTCATTAGAAGGACCTGAGCTGCTGACATGTGGTCATCATGGCAACTGGACTGCAGAGAAACCCACCTGTCAAGGTAAATGAGCAACAACAGATCAAATGGTACACAAAATGTAAATGTGCACACTTACAAATCTCTGTTCAAAAGTTCACATTATTCACGTTTCACAATGTTTCCACAGCTCCTGCTCCAGTAGCTGCAATTACTGTTGGTGTGGCAACAGGGGCTACTGCGTTGTTATCTGGTGTGTCTATGGCTTTGTGGCTCTTGAAAAAAATGAAGAAGAAAGCTGACGCATATGAGCTGAGCAGGTAAGAGAAGGATTCACCTCTTTGTTTCCTTCATCTTTCTTTTGAAGTTTGTTGTGTTCTCTGCTGTGTTTCTGAATATGTTGACTTTGAAAAATCTGAAGACCAAATCAGTTATGTATGAACTCAGCAGGTTAGGTTTCACCTCTTTTCAAAACTGTTTTTTAAGTTTGTTGAATTTAGTTGCTCATATTCTTCTCTCTTTTATTACAGCAACTCTGACATAGAGGCTCCTCTACAGAGCTACAAAAAGCAGTGACAGCCTGATGTAGAAGACATTTCTGTTCTTTGTAGACAACTACAGACAGTATATATTTCAAAACAGCAATGTGAAAATATGAATCATATATACTAATTTAAAAGGAGTATAAAATAAGTAAACCCGGTGTCACAAGAAGTGAGCGGATGTGACATTTGCAGATTATATTATAGGCTTGATCATATTTGGCTGAATTTTTCAAACAAAATGTGCTGACACATATTTCCTCCAAAAGGGAGTTTTAAATTGAACATATTGTTCTACAACTTAATGCAAATGCTGGGAAGGTGGCATTATCCATGTTTTTGTAAATATTATATAGCATCGTGTGAATCTTGTGTGTATAACGTTGTGTTTTGCTAAGTTACCATTACACTTTAAAACTGATATGTTATATTTTCAGTCTTAGATGGTTGGAAATGTTGTGGTATACATGCAAAACTAAGAAGAATTCATTTAAAAAAAAAAATCATCCAGAGAACATTTTGTTACATATTTTATTTTTTAATTCCTTGTTCAGCATATTGCTAATTAAAGATGAATTGGACACTGATCCTTATCTTTGGTGGGTTTTAATGCCAACACTATTAAAATGTGTGGCTGCTGGGGAAAGATTAGGACAATAATAAGTTGGAACTCTGTCACATCTTCCACTTAATTATTACATTAACAGCTGTTCTGAATGTTTCCAGGTAGTTGCTTGGCTGAGACAACTCAGTTCTAAACATATTATTACTCTATCAAAACAATGAACTGAACCCAGGCCAGACAGTGGTGCCAGATGGTCATGGCGGTGATCCAAAACTAAAAGAAGAATTACTACCTAGTCTCCATCCTACCACAGAAATATTGTTTCTTGTATTTCTTGACTGTATTCATCAGAAACCCCACGAATAAAAGTTGAACTTAGACTGGAAATAACAACACATTGGCAGGTTGTGTTGTGTGGCAGGTAGGATGTAGGACCCAAATACAGGACTAACAGACACGAAAGGATGAACTCAAAAAGGAAGCTTTATTGTGCTGTAGCAAACACATACTAGAAACAAAATCCAAAAGCAGAAAACTAGAAACTATGGACAAGGAACATAAACACTAGGAAACTAGGATGCTAGAAACTAGGTGCAAGGAAACACAAAGCACATGGAAGTGGTACAACACAAGAAAAGGGAATGGAAAACACAGGGCTTAAATATACAAGGGAGTAATGAGAGAATGGGAAACAGGAGGGAACCACAGCTGGGACTAATAAGACATAAGGAGACAAGGGGAAGCACTGACATAGGACACAGACTTTCAAAGTAAAACAGGAAACACGAGAAAATCACAAAGACGCAGACCCTGAGACCAAAATCCTAGGACTAAAAATATAACACAAGCAGAACCAAAACCCATGAATAACAATAATCAAAGAATTGAACTAAAACACACACAAAACACTGGGCCACAGACCCGGTACCGTGACCCACATGGACCAACCGGTGTCGGGGTCATTACTCAAAAAACAGTAATGAATTATATATTATTTGTTTCTCTTCTGAAAAGTAATTCAGTGCATTACTTAATTACATAATTCATATGGACTTGATCTGGCTATTGCTCAAAGCATCCTAAAGTCATGCACTCTTCGAGGATTTTTACTTTAGATAGATAAATAGTCTGATATAAGCCATTTCGTCTCTGCGCAAATGTTGTCAAATTTTGTTTTGTGTGCCAATTATTTGTAGTCAACATCAGTGGGTGTTGGATTCAGCCAAAGCAGCTCTTTTTGTTACCAATTCTGTTCATAATTTTCATGGACAGAATTTCTAGGTGGAGCCTAGTACCTGAAGGTTTCTTCCAAGATGGCCTCAGGATCTCATCTCTGCTTCTTGTGGGTGATGTAGTCCTGCTTTCTTCATGAAGTGGTGGTCTTACACTGGAGCAGTTCATGGCCACGTGCCAGAATAAGATTGAACTCTTCCAAGTCTGAGTCATATGGCCCTGAAAAAGCCTGAAAACAGTTGAGTTTCCACTTTGGGTTAATGTTGAGTTGCTGCCCATAGTGGAAGACTTTTAATATCACAGAGGTCTTGTTCACAGGTTAGAGGAGAGGGAAGAGGGAGATTGACAGATGGATTTGGATCATGGCTAAAGTGATGTGGACACTGCACTGCATGGTGAAGAGAGAGCTGTCCATAAAAGCAAAGCTGTCAGTTTACTAGTCGATCTATGTCCCCACCCTAAACTATGGTTATGAGCTTTGCAGTCCTGAATTTTTTCTTGCTATTTTCCTAGCTGCCATCACGTGTGACAACACTGGGCTCTTGCTTGTGCAGGTAGTAAATTAAAATTTTAGATATAGTTAGATATAGCAGTAAATACTAACAAAAATCAAGGCTGCTACATTGATTCCAATTCTATAAAATCATTACAGTTTATTATTACCAATGACCAGAGCAGTAGCACTACTACCACATACTTGTATCACATTCAAAATGCACATCAACAGAGTGGTACATGCAGCAGCACATTGGTACTTTTAGTACAATACATTACAGATGGTACATCACTTGTTTTTGCCCTCAACTGTGGAATTTTCCACTCTGCTTGTCCTGATAACAAGCAGAGTTATCAGGACAACTCTGCATAACTGCTCAAGTGAAAATTGAGAAACACTGAAAACAACCTGTCTGAGCTTCAACCATTTAATGGTTTGACTTATTGTTTCTTTGCTTTCCAGTGAATAATTCTTCTTATTATTATTATTATGAAATTATTATGATGGCAGTAGTAGTGTCAGACTGATATACCATGCTTTATGACTCCATGATAAAAAATAAGAGGTTTATTTTGGGGGGATTTTGTCTGATACGTTGCAGCTGTAAAGGCTCTGTTTAATATGTTGTAAATTATGTAATTTCCTACACCATCTCTTTATCAGTATATGTTATATACAATATTTCTGTACAGTCCTTTCAAAAATAAATGTGAATAAATACAATATAAATATCATGGTACTTTGTGTCTGTGTGTTTATGTGTCTTCAGAGTGCTATTGGTGTTTGAGTGACACCCTTCCTGGAAGGAAGCTGTGGAAGAAATGATATTACAATGATGATCATTGGCGAAGTCCCTGGAGGGGAGATAATACTGTTTTGCCATTTGGTGGAAATACCATCACACCAAACCCAAACCCCATATTCATAACCCTAGCGATAGCCGAAGCGTCTTGCCCAATGACACAGCGACCGAGACTGTCCAAGACGGGGCTCGAACCGGCAACCTTCCGATTACAAGGCGAACTCCCAATTCTTGAGCCACGATCGCCCCAAGTGAGACATAACCAAGTGGAACAATGAGAAATAAATGCAGTAACAAGAAAGAATCTGTCGCTACACCTTTTCCTTTCCCGAAGCTCTTTCCTGACTGTTATTTTAGCATTTATTACTTTTAGGTTGTAAATTGCAATCTTGTGCAAACATTAGTCCTTTAGTGTTATTGCATACTGTATGGAAACCATGTGAAAATACAACTGTCAGCGTCATTCTAGTTTCCAAGGATTGTTGTTATATTTCTGAGTTGCACAAACCACTAACCGCACAAAATTACTAACTTTTTATTCTTAGTTTGTCTTTTTATGTGCCACAAAAAGTGATATGCTGTTTTTCGTAAACTGGAACACATTAAAAAATAACAGCTCTTGATGTTCTCCCACTCCCCGAGTCCATTCTCTGGTAGCGTAAATTTATATCCATTTCACAAAGTTTTATATTGTAGATTCTTCAAAATAGCCACCCTTTGATCTGATTACTGCTTTGCACACTCTTGGCATTCTCTCGATGAGCTTCATGAGGTCGTCACCTGAAATGGTTTTTCGACAGTCTTGAAGGAGTTCCCAGAGATGCTGAGCACTTGTTGGCCCTTTTGCCTTCCTTCTGCGCTCCATCTCATCCCAAACCTTCTCGATTGAGTTTAGGTCAGGTGACTGAGGAGGCCAGGCCATCTTGCGCAGCACTCCATCACTCTCCTTCTTGGTCAAATAGCCCTTACACAGCCAGGAGGTGTATTTGGGGTCATTGTCCTGTTAAAAAATAAATGATGGTCTAACGAAACGCAAAATGGATGGGACTGCATGTTGCTGCAGGGTGCTGTGGGAGCCACGCTGGTTCTTTTTGCCTTTAATTTTGAATTAATCTCCAACAGTGTCACCACCATACCACCCCTACAACATCACTCCTCCATGCTTCACAGTGGGAACCATGCATGTAGAGACCATCCGTTCACCTTTTCTGTGTCACACTGTTTGCGACTGCACTTGGGGACATATTCAAATGACTGACTGACTGACTTCCAGTTCTTAAAATAATGATGGACTGTCATTTCTCTTCATTAGCTGATTGGTTCTTGTCATAATATGAATTCCGATTTTCCAAATAGAGCTGTCAGCTGTGTACCAACCTGACTTCTGCACAAGTCAACTGATGGTCCAAACCCCATTAAGAAGGCAAGAAATTCTACAAATGAACCCTGACAAGACACACTTGTGAAGTGAAAAGCATTTCAGGTCACTACATCATGAAGCTCATTGAGAAAAGGCCAAGGGTTTGAAGCGCTGTTAACAAAGACTTTCAGAAAACTAAAATATAAGACATATTTGGAGTTATTTATAGATTTTTTCTTTGCTGCATAATTCTATATATCTTGCTTCAGATATTTGATTTCAGCATGCATCTACAATGTAGAAAGTAGGGAAAATAAAGAAAAACTATTAAAATGAGATGGTGTGTCCAAACTTTGACTTTTGTAGTGTGTATGTATATATATTTTTATAAACCTGAACCAAAGAACTGACCTCTTTCTCAAATTAATATATTTTCTTTTTATTTTCATCTTCGGCAATTCCATGCAAACCTTTCCCCATCCAGATCAAGGCCCTAACCATTGTTTTTATCTGTTTGGGTCTAATCTTTTCCTGCTTTTTGGCTTTCTGTTGGTGGGCACACCCCAACTCATCTATCAAGCCAGCAGACCTTGGAGCTATTCTCTTCCTCTACATTAATGTACGGCAACAGGAAACTGACAATTTTTAAAAACTAATATTTCAGATGTCGAAGTTTAAAAAAATAGTTTTGACTGTTTATCATCGTTACACAGTGTCTAGCTTAGAAACACAACAATTTCAGTGGGAGTAGCATGAACATGCAGTCACCCCATTTGTCACCCCTATTATCTGCATTGTTGCAGAGCCAAGTAAGCCCCATCTCACCCTAAAAGTCAACCTGGGAGTTCAGTACTGAGAACGACCAGCCAATGCTTTTGTGCAGGAAATGTTTTTAAAGCCTTTTGTGGAATGGAGCAGTATTGGGGGGGATTCCATGGAAACCTTCCAGGTTTCCTGAATGACACTAGAGACGCGTATAAAACCTGGAAATCCAGTGCATAACGCAGAGAATCATCCCTACACATACTAAGGCTGAAAGCTAGAGAATCAAGTGCCTTCTGGAGGTTATCAGGCATATCATTTAAAATGGTGAGTGAAAGGGATATCAATTTAAATATTATTCATTTTAATGTAAATTAATTTGGTTTTAATCTAATGCACCTTTAAATTATTTTTACAGGATTCCTTCTTTGGACTAACCCATGGATATAAGAGCTCTGCCTCATGGATCAACTTCACCGTTATTTGTTCAAGTATGTACATTTATTGCCAGAAGAGCCTTGAGCGTCTCAATAAAAAGTTTTAGAACCAGCTAGAATAGGATTGCCCTGTGTTCACTGTACATGTATGACAAAATTGTGGGTGCTCCACACCAAGTGTGCAGGAGGAAAATATAAATAGTAAGACAGCAAAAATAAACAACAAATAAGAGAAATTTATACAGGATGAAGAATATATACAGGAGGGACAAAGGCACCCAATACTAAAAACACTCATTAGAGAGCAAATTAGTAAATAGAATTTTTTTTAAAAATCTCTCCTTTTCTCCCCATTTACATCTACTATATGTCACTGTCTCTATTTAAGTGCTGTGCATGTGGACTAGTGTAGAGTCTTGGTCTTACTTCTACTCGGACAACGCAATGACATGGGATGATGCACGAAGCTGGTGCCAGGAGCACTACACGGACATGGTGGCCATCCAGAACCAGGAGGAGCTTGAGCATCTTAACAACTGGCTGCCCAAGAAAAATGGCTACTACTGGATTGGGATTCGTAGGATTAATAATGTCTGGACCTGGGTAGGAACCAACAAGCCTCTGACAGAAGAAGCAACCAACTGGGCAAAAGGAGAACCGAACAATAACGAGGGTGACAAAAACACAGGCATGCATGAGGATTGTGTGGAGATGTATATTAAAAGAGATAAAGAACCAGGCAAGTGGAATGACGAGAGATGTATAAAATCAAAGACTGCTCTGTGCTACACAGGTGAGCAAAAATCACACTCTTGAAAAACAAATTTTTGCTGCTGTGTTGCTGTTCTTTAATAGGTGATCTACTGATCTGAAAGTTAAAAATGATGTTTCTGACATATTGTTTTAGTATATTTACCAACCTTTATAGAAGTACCTCTGCTTTTTCCAGCGGCTTGTAAGATTGACTCCTGTTTCCACGGAGAGTGTGTTGAAACCATCAACAGCCACAAATGTGATTGCTTTGAAGGTTTTTTTGGAGACAAGTGTGACCAAGGTGAGAAAAAATCTGATAGCGTAGTTTAAATACATATTTTAAGTCATGTAAAGGATTTAATTAATATCCAACTGTGTTGTTGTTTTTTTGTTGTCAGTTGTGCAGTGTAACAAAGGTGAAGTGGTTGTTCCAGATAAAGGACATGTAAATTGCTCTCACAACTATGGCAGTTTCTCCTATGACTCCTTGTGTCAGTATTCCTGTGAGGAAGGATACAAGCTGAGTGTGCAGACTCCTCTGAGGTGCACGGGGTCAGGAAAATGGTCAGAAAAACCCCCTACATGTGAAAGTGAGTTTAAGTATTAATAGCTTATAATATTGCTACTACTTTTTGTTACTTTTATTATTTTCTACACAGTGATGGAGTCATGGCGTAATGCTTTATTCCCCTCTGTTGTCTACAGTGATTCAGTGTGAGAAGATGTCAGAGCCGACACATGGATCCATGAAATGCTCCGATCCTCTGGGCTCATTCAGCTATCAGTCCACCTGTACTTTTACCTGTGATGAAGGTTATGTACTGTCTGGATCTCCATCTCTGCAATGTGAAGCATCAGCAAATTGGAATGGATCCCAGCCATACTGTGTTGGTACGGCCACATGTTTTTA